CAGGAAACGATGCTGGTTTAGAATGAACGGGCCTTAGGTTGTCGGTGGCTTAGATTGATGCTGGCTTAGGTGGATGCTGGCTTAGATTGATGCTGGCTTAGGTTGATGTTGGCTTAGGTTAATGCTTGCTCAGTGTGACGCTGGCTTAGAGTGTGTGTGTGTGTGCCTGCTAGTGAGTGAACTTGTGTGTGTGGCTGCTAATGAGTGAAATTGTGTGTGTGAGTGTGTGTGTGCCTGCTAGTGAGTGAGCTTGTGTGTGTGTGCTTGCTAGTGAGTGAGCTTGTGTGTGTGTGGCTGCTAGTGAGTGAATTTGTGTGTGTGTGTGTGGCTGCTAGTGTGTGTGTGTGCCTGCTAGTGAGTGAACTTGTGTGTGTGGCTGCTAATGAGTGAAATTGTGTGTGTGTGTGCCTGCTAGTGAGTGAGCTTGTGTGTGTGCGTGCTAGTGAGTGAGCTTGTGTGTGTGTGTGTGTGGCTGCTAGTGAGTGAACTTGTGTGTGTGTGTGGCTGCTAGTGAGTGAGTTTTGTGTGTGTGTGGCTGCTAGTGAGTGAATTTTGTGTGTGTGTGCCTGATAGTTAGTGAACCTGTGTGTGTGGCTGCTAGTGAGTGAGATTGTGTGTGTGTGTGTGTGGCTGCTAGTGAGTGAGCTTGTATGTGAGTAAGCTTCTGTGTGTGTGTGTGTGTGTGTGTGTGTGTGTGTGTGCCTGCTAATGAGTGAGCTTGTATGTGTGTGTGTGGCTTCTCCTGAGTGAGCTTGTGTGTGTGCCTGCTCCTGAGTGAACTTGTGTGTGTGGCAGTGAGCTTGTCTGTAGTGAGCATGTGTGTGTCAGTGGGCTTGTCTGTTGGAAGCATGTGTGTGTGTCAGTGAGCTTGTCTGTGGTGAGCATCTGTGTGTTAGCTTGTCTGTAGTGAGCATGTGTGTGTCTGTAGTGAGCATGTGGGTGTCAGTGAGCATGTGTGTGTGACAGTGAGCGCGTCTGTTGTAAGCTTGTGTGTGTCAGAGTTTGTCTGTACTAAATTTGTTTGTGTACCAATAAGCTTGTCTGTGTGTGCCAGTGAGATTTTACTTGGAAACAACCAATATGTTGAATTAGAAAAATAAATATACCAATAATATGTAAGGCTATGTTTTGCCACCCCAGATGATCGAGTAATATCAATTGGGTGGCAAGACAGCCTTACATATTATTGGTATATTTATTTTTCTAATTCAAACAATTGGTCCTTTCAGAGTGTGTGTAAGACTGGGGATACAAAGCCGCACTGAAAAAAAAAAATCTATGCTAGCCCCTTAAGTCATTGTGCCAGGGCCGTCTTTAACGCGTGGCAAAAGGAGCAAATGCCCCGGGCCCAGTTGCTCCTGGGGGGCTCAACGCAGCAGCCTCTTGAGCCCCACTGGCCACAAAAATTTGTTAAATAAATAGATAATAGATATGTTCTGCTATTATCTATTTATTTTGGCATGCCCCAGCGATCCTTATCCATACAATCTTTCATAGTGCAGGACTTACTTGCTCCTCCTCCCTGGCTCTGCACCTGCAGCGTACCGTGCACCCGCATCACGTGATGTCATGCAGAAGTGGAGTCACGGCAACGCCAGGGTGAGCCCCGGGACACAGGCTGTGCAGCGGCCGTCATCAGTCTCCTGACTCTCCCCCCAAAACAAACAGCAAAGCGGCTCCTGAATCCTGATCCTGTTGGTCTTCAAAACTGTAAGTATTTAATTAAGAAGGAATAAAAGGGGGGTGGGGGGTTGGAGAAGGGGGCAGGGAGAGTGGGAAGGTTGGAGAGGGTGAGGGGTGGGGAGGTTAGTACATTGGAGGGGGTTAGTACACAATCTGTGCATTTATAAAAAAAAATGTATATAAAAGTAATCTGCAAAATAAAAAAATATTTGTGTCATAATCTGTGCCTAAAATCAGGCTAGGAATGTGCTTAGTTTTTTCTTTTTTTTCATGTCTAGTATAATGATACAGCATTTTATTTCATACTTTTGTGCTGTTTTTTTTAGTTTTTTTTCCTTTAAGCACCATCATTTTAAGGATTTTCTTCCAAGTGACATTTGTATTTTTTATGTAAGAAGTGAGCCATGTAGATTTATAAATACTGATCCCTGCTATTAAAATCTACTGTTTACTATATCTACACAGGAATATTCAAGGGACACAATTGTCACCAGAACCACTACACCGTAACATAGTAGTTCTGGTGTCTATAGCTTGTCTCTGCAGGTTTTTAACATAAACACATAGAGAAGATGCAGTGATTACATTACTGCCTAGGATTACCTCTAGAGGCCACTCATCAGATGGCCACCAGAGGTGTTTCCTAGTCCAGTGTTACACAACGTGCAACACTGGCATTCACGTTTAACAATCCTCATAGAAATGCATTGATTCAATGCCTCTCTATGAGGAGATGCTGATTAGTGCGGCGAAGCTTAGTGTTTAGCCACGCATGTGCAATAGCCTCCCAATACGTTCCTATGGGAAATTAGTGGATTGGCTAAGATGTACTCACACCCTGCACATTCCTGTGCATTGTATTGATGAGGTGACCTGTGATACATTCACAAACTGCACGTTGTGAACCAGTTCTTTATGTTTACATTAAAGTTTATTGGTCTACGAAGTGAGTGGGTTTTTGTTGTGTGTGGCTGTTGGGGTGAAGAGCGTGATTGCATGCTAGGGAGTGAGAGGGCGGGATCCAGGGGGCCCAAGTAAATTCTTGCCCATGGTCCAATCAGTATTAAAGAGGGCCCTGCATTGTGCCATGTATTTTATATATATATATATATATATATATATATATAGGGCTAGAATAGATTTTTTTCCAGTGCGGCTTTGTATCCCCAGTCTGCCATACTCTCTTGAGGCCTTTCTGTTGAGTCACGTCAATCTAAGGAGTGCTAATACATCTCTCTCTACCACTATAGTCTCATAAGCGCTATGGAATCTGTTGGCTCTATATAAATGGCAATAATAATAATAATAATAATAATAATATCCACTTCTAAACCAACTATCTGCCAGAGGGTCATTAAAGGACATTATAGCACCAAGATGTGGCTGTGATTTTAAGACATTCCAGGTGCAACCATTGCTTTAAGTTGGTGAGATGAACCCAGTTCTATAAAAAAACTGTTTTCTATAATATCAAATACACCTCTACTTATCCTTCATGGAGTATGCAGTCTCCCCGTACAGCAAATTCAAATGACTGCTGATAATTGTATTTTTCCTAAATGTACTATACATACTCCTTCATTATCTTTTTACCAAAATTAGGATTTAGATTTCCTCTGCACCATCAGAATAGGCAATGTCTTGGACTGATCATTCTCCTGTGTTTGTTTTTAATTGTATCACCAATAACAGACCCATGAATTCGTAACTGGTGACTTAATGAAATCTTAATACTCATCTTTATTAGGAAGATATGTAATCACAGGTTTTGCTTGCATCCATTCTCATTATTTTGATGATTTATCAGTGTCCACTATTTGGGAAGTTCATAAGTCTCTCACCAGGGTGCTTCTTATTAAAAATGTATACTCAGTCACCTGATGGACCAAGTGACAATTTTATAACTTAAGCATAAATAGAACCACGATAATAGATCTTGACAGCAGTTGCTCTCTCTCTGCCCTCAGTTGGACTGCATGTATTCTGAATACGGGAAACAACATAATATTTCAAAATAATGCATGTTACCTCTTACAAATGATAATGTACTGAATAAATTATGAAAATAAGCTGGTAGAACAATTCAATCCATAAATATAGCAATCTGTGCAAAGTGTCATTGTCCTTAGTTAGCAATGTCCCCCATTGCCCTTTCATGTCATAGAATGTGACGGCAGATAAGAACCATTTGGCCCATCTAGTCTGCCCAATTTTCTAAATACTTTCATTAGTCCCTGGCCTTATCTTATAGTTAGGATAGCCTTATGCCTATCCCTCACATGCTTAAACTCCTTTACTGTGTTAACCTCTACCACTTCAGCTGGAAGGCTATTCCACGCATCCACTACCCTCTCAGTAAAGTAATAGTTCCTGATATTATTTTTAAACCTTTGTTCCTCTAATTTAAGACTATGTCCTCTTGTTGTGTCAGTTTTTCTTCTTTTAAATATAGTCTCCTCCTTTACTGTGTTTATTCCCTTTATGTATTTAAATGTTTCTATCCCCCCTGTCTCGTCTTTCCTCCAAGCTGTACATGTTAATATCCTTTATCCTTTCCTGGTAAGTTTTATCCTGCAATCCATGAACAAGTTTAGTAGCCCTTCTCTGAACTCTCTCTAAAGTATCAATATCCTTCTGGAGATACACTCTCCAGTACTGCATACAATCATAGGCGTGCGCACACCCTAATCCCCGTGGCACGCCTATGGTTTGAGTCCTGCAGGAACAGTGTTCCTGCAATTTTTTTTGAGCAGGAATGCTGTTCCTGCAGGCACTCAGCGCCCCCCATCTCACCTCTTGACCCTGTCATGGGGAGGGCAAGAGGTGATGGATTCCCCCCCCACTCTGCAGCTCAGCCGTCATATTCCGGCTCCCTGCTACAGCAGACAGCCCGCGCGGCGAGAGGGAGCAGAAAGGTGCCCGCCCCCACTGAACCCCAGGGACAAGTCCACCAGCACTCCAGGTAGGAGGCTGGGTGGACATTTTTTAAAAAAAATTAAAATATAATAATGTGTGTGTGTGTGTGTGTGTGTCTGTGAGTATGTGTGTGTGTGTGTGTCTGTGAGTGTGTGTCTGTGAGTGTGTGTGTGTGTGTCTGTGAGTATGTGTGTGTGTCAGTGTGTGTGTGTGTCTGTGAGTATGTGTGTGTGTCTGTGAGTGTGTGTGTCTGTGAGTATGTGTGTGTCTGTGAGTGTGTGTCTGTGAGTATGTATGTGTGTGTGTGTGTGTCAGTGTGTGTGTGTGTGTCAGTGTGTGTGTGTGTGTCAGTGTGTGTCTGTGAGTGTATGTGTGTGTCTGTGAGTATGTATGTGTGTGTGTGTCTGTGAGTGTGTGTGTGTGTACGTATATATATATATATATATATATACACACACACACACACACACACACGCAGAGCCGGCGCTATCTGAGTGCCGGCTCTGCTCTAAGCTTTCATGGGCCGGCGGGGAGACCAAAGATCTACCTCACCGGCCCACAGCAGCATGGAGGGAGGCAGGAGAGGACCCAGGGAGCTCTAGACAGAAGCTCCGCCAGGTTCCTCTCGCGATATCTGAGCGTTGCTGCGGCAACGCTCAGATCTCGCGAGAGTTAACTCTAGCCCCGCAGGCTAGAGTTCACTCTCCACTGCACCACCAGGGATGGCACATGGCAGCAAGGATTTACTAATCTGCCAAATCCCTCCAAACATACAGCACACACACATACAGCACCTACACACATACAGCTCACACACACACAGTACACTAACCGCACCCTCACAAACACACACAGCACCTTTAAAAAAAAACACAACACCCTCACACACAGCACACTAACAGCACCCTCACAGGACAAACATACACACACAAACACCCTCACACACAAACAGCACAGTCACAAACACGCACCCTCACACACACATCACACTAACGGCACACAGCACACTAACAGCACACACAGCAGTGTGTGTGTGTGTGTGTGTGTATGTGTGTGTATATATATATATATATAGATACATACATACACACACACACGCGCGTGGCGTGTGTTTGTGCTTTAGGGTGTACACCCTAATGCAATAGGCTGCACACGCCTATGCGTACAATACTCCAAGTGAGGTCTTACTAGTTTTCTGTACAATGGCATGAGCACTTCCCTCTTTCTACTGCTAATACCTCTCCCTATACAACCAAGCATTCTGCTAACATTTCCTGCTGATCTGTTACATTATCTGTCTACCTTTAAGGCATCAGAAATAATCACCCCTAAATCCCTTTACTCATATGTTGAGGTTAGGATTCTATTAAATATTCTGTACTCTGCCCTTGGGTTTTTACGCCCAAGATGCATTATCTTGCACTTATCCACATTAAATGTCAGTTGCCACAACTCTGACCATTTTTCTAGTTTAAAAATATATATATTGCAATATCCCAATGAGTAATGCCAATGGTGGTAGATACTCTAACAACTTAGTGAGTTTTCCCTTAAACCTCACAGCAAACAGAAATATACATACAAAGGTTGCGAGTATCTTTCTTTTTGGAACTAGGATAATTCCTGGATCATTATAGTCCTAGGAATGAAATATAAGCAGACAAAAATAGTGCAATATAGCCAATTATGAATGGTAAAGTGCAGTAGTGGATGGAAAAACACTCAGAAGTGAGGAGCCACTGAATTAGGCTCAGATTTCCAGCTTTGTGGGTTATAGAGGTAAACACTCCCTTCTTTCTGCTGATAGGAGGTCTCAAGCGGAAGCGGAAGTAAGAACTCAATTGAATGACGGCCGAGGACAGAAGGGTGAAAAAACACCACCAATTAAGAATCATTTTAAAAAAAAACACGAACAAGACACAGCAGCAACTGAGGAAGCCTCTGGACGAGGCAAAATGCGTTTTGCACTGTAAAGACTTTACACAAAGGACTTGCCTCCAAAATTGTAAGGTTTTTTTATTTATTTATTTTATACATTTTACTATTTGTGCATTTTCCAATAAAGCACTTTACATCTACACTGATCATTGTGAGGACATCCAATTGCTTGAGACCTCCTATCAGCAGAAAGAAGGGAGTGGATACCTCTATAACTCACAAAGCTGGAAATCTGAGCCTAATTCAGTGGCTCCTCGCTTGTGAGTGTTTTTCCATCCACTACTGCACTTTACTATTCATAATTGGCTATATTGCACTATTTTTTGTCTGCTTATATTTCATTCCTAGGAATATAATGATCCAGGAATTATCCTAGTTCCAAAAAGAAAGATACCCCACCCTGTATTGTATGTACATTTTTCTAGTTTACCTAAACCATGTGCCATTTGGCTTATCCCTCCTGCAACATCAACCCTGTTACATATTTTTGTATCATCAGCAAAAAGACATTCCTTACGATCAAGATCTTCTGCAATATCACTAATAAAAATATTAAAGAGAATGGATCCAAGTACAGATCCCTGAGGTACCCCACTGGTGACAAGCACAAGCTTCGATTATACTCCATTGACTACAACCCTCTGTTGCCTGTCACTCAGCCACTGCCTTACCCATTCAACAATATTGGAATCCAAACTTAAAGATTGTAGTTTATTGATAAGCCTTCTATGTGCAACACTGTCAAAAGCCTTACTGAAATCTAGGTAAGCAATGTCTACTGCGCCACCCTGATCTTTTATTTTAGTTACCCAATCAAAAAAATCAATAAGATTAGTTTGGCATGATCTCCCTGATCTAAACAAATGTTGTCTCTCATTTTGAAATCCATGTGTTTTTAGATGTTCAACAATCCTATCCTTTACCATGGTTTCCATTACTTTCCCCACTACTGAAGTAAGGCTTATTGGCCTATAGTTGCCCGACTCCTCCGTACTACCTTTCTTGTGAATGGGCACAACATTTGCTAACTTCCAATCTTCTGGACTACTCCTGTTAACAATGATTGGTTAAATAAATCTGTTAATGGTTTTGCTAGTACACCACTAAGCTCTTTTAATAACTTTGGGTTTATTCCATCAGGTCCCATTGACTTATTTGTCTTTACTTTTGGCAGTTGAAATAGAACCTCTTCCTCTGTAAACTCACGTGTAACAAATTACTAATTTGTCCTTTTCCCTAACTGGGCCCCTTTCCTTCATTTTCATCTGTACAGGGAGTGCAGAATTATTAGGCAAGTTGTATTTTTGAGGATTAATTTTATTATTGAACAACAACCATGTTCTCAATGAACCCAAAAAACTCATTAATATCAAAGCTGAATATTTTTGGAAGTAGTTTTTAGTTTGTTTTTAGTTATAGCTATGTTAGGGGGATATCTGTGTGTGCAGGTGACTATTACTGTGCATAATTATTAGGCAACTTAACAAAAAACAAATATATACCCATTTCAATTATTTATTATTACCAGTGAAACCAATATAACATCTCAACATTCACAAATATACATTTCTGACATTCAAAAACAAAACAAAAACAAATCAGTGACCAATATAGCCACCTTTCTTTGCAAGGACACTCAAAAGCCTGCCATCCATGGATTCTGTCAGTGTTTTAATCTGTTCACCATCAACATTGCGTGCAGCAGCAACCACAGCCTCCCAGACACTGTTCAGAGAGGTGTACTGTTTTCCCTCCTTGTAAATCTCACATTTGATGATGGACCACAGGTTCTCAATGGGGTTCAGATCAGGTGAACAAGGAGGCCATGTCATTAGATTTTCTTCTTTTATACCCTTTCTTGCCAGCCACGCTGTGGAGTACTTGGACGCGTGTGATGGAGCATTGTCCTGCATGAAAATCATGTTTTTCTTGAAGGATGCAGACTTCTTCCTGTACCACTGCTTGAAGAAGGTGTCTTCCAGAAACTGGCAGTAGGACTGGGAGTTGAGCTTGACTCCATCCTCAACCCGAAAAGGCCCCACAAGCTCATCTTTGATGATACCAGCCCAAACCAGTACTCCACCTCCACCTTGCTGGCGTCTGAGTCGGACTGGAGCTCTCTGCCCTTTACCAATCCAGCCACGGGCCCATCCATCTGGCCCATCAAGACTCACTCTCATTTCATCAGTCCATAAAACCTTAGAAAAATCAGTCTTGAGATATTTCTTGGCCCAGTCTTGACGTTTCAGCTTGTGTGTCTTGTTCAGTGGTGGTCGTCTTTCAGCCTTTCTTACCTTGGCCATGTCTCTGAGTATTGCACACCTTGTGCTTTTGGGCACTCCAGTGATGTTGCAGCTCTGAAATATGGCCAAACTGGTGGCAAGTGGCATCGTGGCAGCTGCACGCTTGACTTTTCTCAGTTCATGGGCAGTTATTTTGCGCCTTGGTTTTTCCACACGCTTCTTGCGACCCTGTTGACTATTTTGAATGAAACGCTTGATTGTTCGATGATCACGCTTCAGAAGCTTTGCAATTTTAAGAGTGCTGCATCCCTCTGCAAGATATCTCACTATTTTTGACTTTTCTGAGCCTGTCAAGTCCTTCTTTTGACCCATTTTGCCAAAGGAAAGGAAGTTGCCTAATAATTATGCACACCTGATATAGGGTGTTGATGTCATTAGACCACACCCCTTCTCATTACAGAGATGCACATCACCTAATATGCTTAATTGGTAGTAGGCTTTCGAGCCTATACAGCTTGGAGTAAGACAACATGCATAAAGAGGATGATGTGGTCAAAATACTAATTTGCCTAATAATTCTGCACTCCCTGTAAATACTGAACAAAAATATTAATTAATATTCTCCCTTTCTCCAACACTTTACCTTAATTGTAGGCCTGCTGTCCCCAACACCCATTTCCGTATCAGATGTTATATTTGTTTCTCTCTCACCCAATTTCCCCATTACAAGTTATATTTCCTTCTCATCTCTTTTTCTCATTACAAGAACCTCTGTTCCACTCCTATTTCTTTATTAAGGGTCTCCATTTTACCACCCCAGTTTATCTTATCACAAGTTCCCTTTTCCCAATCCTGGTTTTTCCATTAGAGGTTCTGTGCCACAGTTTCCCTCTTCAGCCCAACTTCCATATTGCTGGTTGGCTTAATTATGGAAGTTGGCCTCTTGTGATTTACTTATAAATAGCATATAATCTGAGCCCCATAGGATAAACGAATAGAGAAACTCTTCACTTACAGACCGGGTTCTGTTCTTACGACCCGGTCGTAAAATGAATTGGTCGGTAAGTGAGGATGCGCTACAGAGCATGCGCACCAGTGCAGGTCCATGTTCTGGGAAATTTCCCTGAACATAGACAAGCGCAGCATAGCAGAAAATCCCTTAAATCTATGTTCGGGGAGCGTTCCCCGAACAAAGATAAGATGGATTCCCTGCTCTGGTGCGTTTTTCTATGTTCGGGGAAATTTATCCAAACGGAGACATACACACCAGAGCAGGGAATCCCTCTAATCTATGTTCA